AATGGATGAAGAATTGTCTTCCTAAAATGTTGTCTCTTATGGTGACAATATTATGGATTGTATGTACAATTGGTCAATGCTAACTTTTGAAGAAGATATCAGATTTCTTGTGTGCATTGTATTTACTGTAGTAGAATATGCCATCGAAAGTATACCCTCTCAACTGTTAAAAAAGGACGTACCCCGATCGAAGGGAATCAGAAAATAAATGGACAAACTGACATACGATGCTCCATGCTAAAACATCTTTTCCAAATCAACAGAAAAAATCAGCAGATGCTGAAACTCTAGAATATTTAAATATTTATCATTAAATAAACGATTGACTCTCCATATCTCTTCTTTCTACAATGTCATAATTTCATATAATAAGTTTCTTCAATTCATCGAATGAAGCCTTTCCTTAATGTATTAACATTTAAATCAAATTAAATAATTTCTAACTGACACACACAAAGATTTTTATATAAAGATTTTATTCTCATATAAATACAAAATTCAAAATATAACCAACACTATTTTCGGCAGTTAGGTAGCTAAGTTTTAGCTTAACTGTTTGATATAATAACTCGATCCCCCTTCTTATAGTACTTGGGACGAAGTTGTGCCACCTCTAGAGCTCTGTTCGTTGGCGCCCAGTGGGCCAAGTTTATGGCGTTAGCCAAGTGCACTTTAAGTGTTAAAAGTCGACATTGGACTAATCGCATTTGCGCTGCGTTAAGCGGCTTAGACAATGGAGCGCAAATGCACTTGAGTCCTGGCCGTATCTTAAAGATACACATGAACATGTGACAAATTTAATTGGAAGCATATGGGCAAAGCCTTTCTACTGCTGACTAGACAATAAATTATCAGAGCTTCGTGTTAATTAAGTCCGATGCGACATACGTACAATGCATAGGACATCGGCCAACTTGGGGATTTATTTTATGCAGATTTATTGAGCACAAAAGGCCAATGTGCAACTACTATAGGACAAAACTTTTGTGTAACTGTTGTTGTTCTTGTTGTTTCGTTCATTGTTATTGCTGTTTTTGTTGTTGTTCGCATTGTACCGCCTTTACCTCTAATGGCACATTAATGAAGACGTAATTAATAGTTTGAAAAGGTGAAACATAAAGGTTATATGCAGACAAACTACTCCTTTTCAAAAGGCAACAGCAATTTGAATGGCGATTGCAAAATGTGGTAAGTCGAGTCGAAAACATGTTTGTTTGCACATAGATAAAATACTTAATTATATTCAGAATTTAATTGAAATTTATTATGTTTATGATTTATTACACATAAGTGGGCAATTATTTTGATAAAGGTAAAGGCAAATATATTGTTTCTCTCAGGTAAATAGATACTATTGCTTATGTAACAGGCACAAAAAAAACGAGGCAGCTTTTTGGAGCATTCAAAACATTTGTTCATTTATTTGTGAGTATGAACTTCGAAAGCACTGTATTTTTTGGGCCTAAGCTAGCCGGCTATATACTTATTTATAAATATATACATTTCTAACATTGTTTGTTATATAAAACTTCTGGACCGTCACAAACTATTTATAAACTATTATTGTTCTGCACATTTTTAAGCTTAACGCGAATAATATATTGACAAGACTCTCAAATACATTTTGTGCTGATATTTTTGCTAAAAAAATGTCCACAAAAACAGACATACATAGGTGAAAGTAATTCAAATACAGTAAAGCGCTGTCAAAATCTGAACATAGCATTATCGACGCCGACTTTAACAGACGACACTCTTATCCAGTGCCAGTGACAAGTGGCGATGCCCATGACAACTGCTGAGCAAACCACAAGTCCAGCCACTTAGCAGTCTCTAATAGCATTGTCAACAAATCAATGAGAAACACAAACATGACACAAAAGCATTGAACTAATTAAATGCCGATTTGTGTCAATGATAAGGATAATAATTTTCGAGCAAGCAAATCAATAGAACGGCAAGAGAAATGCGCACCATTTTCCATTGTTGGACGTGAGCTGCGGGCGTCGCCTAATGATGTGAGCTCGACATTAAAAGGGCGGTAATCGACAAGAAGCTCAGAGTGGGGCGATATATTTTCTATATATATTTGTGCGTAGTGACAAGCAAATGACATTGGAAATATTGAACTACTTGCCGCAATGAAGCGAAAAATGAAAAAAGAATCAACAAATCAAACAGCACGAGTCGCACGTTTGTCTGTCTGTTCGTCCGCCTGTCTCTCTGTTTTGTTTGGCTATTTATACAAGTTATCAAGAAGATGCTTCGAGTCATTGAAACAAAGGCCATGCCCGTGCCTCATGTCAAGCTGCCCAATCACCAATCCAACAATGTGCCACACAATCTCATTTCTCAAAAGACGAAGCCAGCGGGTGGGCGTTTTGTCTGCGGATAACAAACACGTTGATATTTTGATGCCCATTGAACTGAAGAGAAATGTCAACATTAGGTCGGCATTATGAAGATGTTGCCAACGATGCTGATGATGGAAATGATGATGCTGGTCGAAAATATTTGAGATATTTCTGGCAAAATGAGCAAAGTTTGCCACTTGCCCGTTGGGGGTCAGGCCAACTGTTTCTGGACATTTTTATCATCAATCTTTGCGCTTCAACACTTTATGTTTGGGTCCCAGGGACCAAGCTGAGTGTTGATGTAGTTAAAACATTTATTTGGTTTATTATGCCATCAGTTGGTCTTGCTTATTGTATTTGTTGACAGCTCATTTTTATTTTCCACTAAACGAGACGGTGTTCTCGTACATATTCGTCAGAACACAAAGCAATGTTTGAGTGTGCGGGCAATTATCGGATTGACAGGTATTGAATAGGAGTTAATCATTTTATTTGACTTTTTGTTGCCACAATGCTGCCTTGTCAAGTTAGAATTGGTGGTTTCGTGTGAAGATAAAGATTACATTGTACCTTCTAGGAATAAAGCAAATACATAATAAAATATAAAAATAAATAAAATTCTTTTATCTACAGTAAATAATTTAGTTTCTACATCTAGAACCCTGTGACAATTTAGCCGTACCACACCTCTTATGAACATCGTCAGATAATAAGGCGAAACTTTGCATAAAATTCCTGCTTTGTAGCTGTATTGACGATTCACTCTTTCCAGCAGCAAAATTTCAGAGCCAACTACATTGAAAAACACATAATAATTTAAGAAATATTTTCATCAACTTTGACTCAAAAGCGAGCCACAAAAAATGTGCTGTCAAATCTTATAAAAATGTTGAAGATAAAAAATGGAAATTCATATGAACATTTGAAAGACATATTCAAGCTCTCGAACTCTCACACACCCACAGACGAGTACATACCTTTCATTGTCAAAGCGCGCTCATACATGTGAACAAAAAATGGCAGACGTGGCAGCTTTAACGCCATTTTGTTGCCGGCGCCTTTGTTGTGCCTTTCATGGTGTTGTTGTGAGGTTGTCATGGCATTTTGGCAACATTGTTAAGCGTGTTGGCAAAATCGGCTGCCTGTCTCTCGATCCCCAGTTTGATTTACCTTTTAAAACGACGTGTACTAAGTCAAGGGACACATATACATACACACATATGAGTTCATGTGCGAAAAGCTGTGCGTATGTACGTATATGTATATTAATTCATGCTACTTTGCACCTATACACCCACCTATATATTTATATAAATCAATCTTATCGATTCGATTATTTATGCGTCAACATATTTCTCTTTTTTGCTTCCGTTGACTGAAAAGCAAATTAGATAACAATATAACTAATAGCCGGGACCATATTTTTTAAAACATTAATTTCATAGATAAGACTTCCAACTCATTAAGTGGCATATGTTTTGAAGAATTATATAATTTTCTTTCATTGCTTGTAAAAACCACATAACAGGGCAATTATTCTTCTAGTGGTATTGTCTCTGTTTCAGGGGTAATTCAAAACCTTTTATTTGTCTTTCGAAAAATGGAGGTGGGTTGGTTATAAAAGGGGTGTTAGACGACCCAATCTTTTATAATACATGGTGCCAATTTTCGACATACTTTATAAATGCCAACATTTTTTCCATGGATGATCTGTCATAGCCCACTTTCTCAAGTACATCTCAGGACAAAGAAAAGAGATAACTACCTACTCAGCATCTTTGTATTAATACAATCACCAAATGTATGAACACACTGACAGCAAATTATTTGTTTTCAGATAAGAACTGCAGTGATTTGATGCATGTATCCGTATATATAGAGGGCTTCCCTTTCAAATGCACTTCATTGTAATATCAGCATTAGCGAGAAATAGAGGGACAGCACATGTGCTTCTTTTAGTGAAGTGAATTATTTGAAAAGTTATGAAAAGGATGCTAGTTCCTTAAGTAGTAACAATTAAAAGGCAGTGCTAATACGAATTTCTACCTTTAATTTTACTACTTGAGAAAATGGCATTGAGAAGATTGCCTTTGTTTAGTGCTTTTGTGATTGTATGGAGTGGAAAATCGTACGCTTAAGTAGTAGACACAAAGGCGAAACGCATTAAAAGTCGCATTGTGTGATCTACTTAAATGGCAGATTTTTCGACACCGCATAAAATTATAGTTCTACCGACAAAAAAGAATGAGATTCTTAACTAAGTGAACATCATGACTCATGCGAACTCATATCAATACCGAGTATTTATAGTTTCGTACCAGTATCGATAACGATAACTGCACTTTATATATATGTAAGCTTTTGTCAAATTGCATTAAATTGAATTGAAACAGGAATTTCATAAATGTGTTGGAAGTGGCATTTCGTTTTATTTATTTTTACAGCGACACTTAATATTTGTTTCTCTGATGATTCGTAGTTTGCAGTATTATTCAAATGCCTTGATGCGACTAACAGCGATTTAAATGCACTAATGCAAAACATCGATGCTTTCTCGATAGGCAGCTACAGAAAGTTCAATGTGCTTCGTGAACATCTATCGTTCATCTCTAGTTTTCCATTAAATTGTTGCAGCAGTAAAATTGTGCTTTCATTCTGTTTAAAAATAATTGATTTGTTTTGCAAATTGTGGAAAAATGGTAAGAATTTAACGAATATTCAATTTCACATTAAATAAATAAATAAATCTGCAGTTTCGTAACCAATATGATAGTGATGTTACCATATGGAGCCCCCAGGGTCGTCTACATCAAGTTGAATACGCGATGGAAGCTGTGAAACTTGGAACTGCCACCGTTGGGCTAAAGAGTGCGGATTATGCCGTTCTTGTTGCCCTTTGCAAGCCACCATCCGAACTTTCTACTTCGCAAAGAAAGATTTTCTCAATAGACGACCATCTGGGCATATCGATAGCCGGCATTACTGCGGACGCTCGGGTACTCAGCAGGTACCTGCGCTCGGAGTGCCTGAGTTATAAGCACGCTTACGCAGCGTCGTATCCTGTGTCCCGGTTGATGACCAACCTGGGTAATAAAATGCAAGCAACTACCCAGAGATATGACAGACGTCCCTACGGGGTCGGTATGCTGGTAGCTGGCTACGATGATAAGGGGCCGCATATCTACCAAGTAATGCCCTCGGCTAACTCTTTTAGCTGCAAAGCAATGTCGATTGGATCACGCTCGCAAAGCGCGCGTACATATCTAGAACGCCATCTAGCATCCTTTAAGCAATGCAGCAAGGATGAAATTTTGTGTCACGGAATTCAGGCAATACGCGGCTCGTTGCCCAGCGAAGAAGCTGCCAAAAAAGAGGAGTCACTAGCTCAATTGGTATGGTTTCTTACAAGTATTGTATATCATTATGCTCTTGCAAAGACTCCGGTCTTAGACTTAAGCTGCTTTAAGCTGCTTGGTAGACCTAATGGCTGAGGGTGAGCGGAGTATAGCCATGTCCATCCGTCCTTGTATTTTATCTTTAGGAACCAGTTGGATCGAAAATCGATAGATTTGGTGATTAAATGATTAGCTTTTGAGGCATCATATAATATTTAAATCAAAAATACGATAAGGCAGCTATTAGCCAACAGGTTTAAACAAAGTCTTTGTATGTTCAATTCTCTTATAAACATAATGTAAGCAAAGTGGCTAATGGTTAGTTCTTTTCAAATTCGTTTCGAAAGATACCTAATCAGTTGCAAAATAAATTATAACAAGATTCTTTATTTCAATCCGGCTACGTTTGTAAGGATATATGAGCTTCAATATTCCGAAGCTATAAACTGTAAATGTGATATTTTTTAGAATATTTGTGTGGCAATTGTGGGCAAAAACCAGCCCTTCAAGATTCTAACCGAAGAAGAAAACACCAAGTATCTGAATATGGCTGACGAGCTAGCAGGTTCCGTGATACATTTGAAGTCTGATGACGATGATGACCAACCTCCACAAGGAGGCGACGAACCAGCTGAGCCTGGTCCCAGTGATCCACTCGTCGACGTTCCAATGGATCTTCCCTAACTTACACAAAAGGTTTGAAGTTAAATATGATGTTACTTTAAACCTAATATGCAAAGATTTCATTCTACAGCAAATCAACAAAATCACAAATTTACGTCAGACTCGAAGGAAGTGTCTACATATCCCGTATATCCACACACACCCAAACCAATATCCAGCCACACAGACACACTCAAGTTTAATAAAACAAAATCCTGCGGCGATAATTTACAACACGATTGTGCGCGGCAAATTGCTTTGATTTAAGCGTGCCAACGTGCCAGGACGAGTCGCTCACACACACAACCATACTCAGGCAGCCACATATGAGGAAAAGCGTCGGAAAGGAAATAAAAACAAGCAGTCAACATGGTGTAAGGAAAAACCTGCCACAAGATGCTGCACACAAACATTGCCACACATTTGCTACATCTTTTCACACTTGACTGGCAAGCCAAGGCGAAGGCAAACCAATTCAACATCCGTTTGCCGCTAATTCACACACACACCCCACGCTCACACACAAACACAAACACACACTAAAGCGCCGGCAGTACAGCCAGGCTGCAAGGATATATGAAATACGCGCAAATGACGTGTTAGGAAAATTGTGTGAAAATTGTTATATATATTATATCCGTACGTACTTGTGTACGAGCGCTTGATATGATTTCTTATGCTCCATTCACTGCCAAAGGTGTTAAGCGCTACGCTTATGCTTGGTGTAAAGCACCGACCGCCAAGCAGAGTCGCTTTTGAAGTGGGTGAAGTATTGAAGGAAATGTTAGATCATTGGCAACAATTATTTTGCTTTTAAAAATACCCCCTCATACTACTATAACATACAAGTATGTAACTTGTATTTAAACAATTTAAATAAAATGTATTTAGACCCCCTGACACACATACATCTAAAATTATTTGAGTAAGTTAATACGCTTTACCATTAGTTAGTATCCTCTTTTAAATGAGCGCTTCTAGGTAGCTAGTTAATGTATACGGACGGACAATAAATTGGGCTCCCAATAAGACATAAGTTAAACAGATAAACTCGTCATTCCATTTGCTTCGTCTACGATGGGTCTTCGATCTCGTCCGATAATAGAACGGAAAGTCTGCATCTTACAGTTAATTCATATGCAATGATGTCTGTTACTTGCATTTTAATTTTCAAATGCTGATGAAGAAATTTCAGTATAAGATTACATCTTAGATCATACAATTAGTAATCATAATAGTTACAACTTATGAATTGAATTGGATTAATACGCTTTTAATGTAAACATTAATAGCAGCTGTTCCCTTAAATCTTGTTCTCACACTTTTTAATGTACACAATGTAGCTTAGCATAAGTGGTTAGTGCTTAGTCGAATCCCTATTTTAGTAATTGTGTTTTAGAAAATAAATATTGAACTATGCAGTAAAAGGAAAGCACGGCATGACTGTTTGTTAAAAAGCCATATTTTATTTTGCTTCTCTTTCAGCCTTTGAGCATTTCATTTTTCTTCTGCACAATGCACGTTTAGTTATAATTTGAAAAATTTCTTTGCAAAAAAGAAATGTGTGGTTTTGTTTTCTTCTTTCACTTTGGCAAGCACAATATTTAATAACTAGAGTTCTTGCTAGAACTGCAATAAAGAAGTTTTTAGCTTTAGGGCATGCTTTGAGTAAACGTAGCCAAAAATTAAATAAACTAAAAAAAATATGCTTACTTATAAACGAGAAAAGGGGAAATTTTTAATAGTGTGCAGTTTTAGTTGCTTTTTACAGCAAAGAGACGTCTAAGTCATTTTTTTTTATTATTTTCTATTTTTTGGTTTAATTTGTCAGTAAATATTTATATATACAAATACAGTTTGTACACATATACTATATATACTTAAATATTTATTTATTTATTTATTTTATTTTATTGCAATAATAGTTTGATATTTAGGATCTTTCTCAATATCTTGTTATTGTTTTCCACAATATAGCTTTAAAATAGTTTATGAACAAAGAGCTTCTATGTATACACTTTAGCCCGATTATTAATCAGTCAAAAAGCTTTAAAAGAATTGATCGACACTCCTCTTACTGAAAGGATTAGTAGCTGTGTAGTTTTTGAAATATCTTCACAACTTCCGATTATTTCCATCAATTGCTCTGATTTAACAAAATTTCGCATTAACCATACAAACTATGCTTATTGGTTCCCTCTGACATACCAGTAAAAATAATGTGCATAGAAACTTTTACAAGCAAAAAGCTCGGAGTTTTTCCCCTCTCTGGCCACTAAAGTATGCTCGCAATTGTTAGCGCATGTTTAACTCATTTGTGAAACGGTATAATTACAACTTAAGCAGAAGAAGAGCAGTAGAACACGTCGCAGTCATTGTTATGCGCACGTGACAGATTTGTCTAAGTAAAATTTGATGGGACCCGCACTCGACGTACTCGACGCACCCAAGGCGCCCAAAGCACCCGACGCACTTGATGAGGACGCGGAGGACGGTGATGAGTACAAGGATGCTGCGCAGGAGTAAACAAACAAGTGCGACAAGTACTTAAATGGAAATTTATTTAATTGCGGTCTCTTGGCAGGGTGTTTGCCTTCTGGGTGCAGTGGAATGGTTAGGTTGGTGGGCAGCAGTGGCGGACTTAAAGCTTTAAGAACTGAACTAATTTAGAGCAGCGTCTTTGTCATCTATAGATTTTGCATTTGTTTGCACTTCGCTTGCCAAATGTCTGCAAACTTGCACGTGACTTTGGCATAAGTTGCAATTTTTTTCGCCCAACCTGAGCTGACAACAACAGCCACAACCAACAACAACAAAAATAACAGCAAGCTAAATAGGAAAAGAGTAAGAACGAAAAGTTGAAATCAAAACTAAAAATTCTGAAAGTCACATAGTCGTAGAAACTTTCGCGCATACACGAGTACGAGTATTGTGTATCCAAGAGATATGCCGTGGCTTACTAAAGTCTGGTTGAGTCAGTCGACTGTTTGCTTAAATGATTTCACAGTTTTTCCATGTGTTCTATTTTATTTTGTGCTTGGTGGGCAACTTTTCCGTATAAAAACTAATATGGTGGAGCTTGTGCAGCAAGTTTATTGGAATTCAGCTGCAAAAACTTTTAACAGGTAGTATCTTGTAATTTTATGGAGTTTGTGTTCTCTGTCGTCTAGCAGCAGGACTTTCAAGGCACTAAACCAAAACGAAACTTGTGCATGGAAATCGCAGCTTAATGTCGTAAAATCAACGCGTCCTTCGCATCGAAAGCGACGTTAAACGTTGCCACTGGATTTTGTCTTGTGGTTAGTTCGCATCTCTGAACGAGAAAACCAGCAAAAAAAAAAAAATATATATATATATAGGTATATAGTATATGCTATATCCAACATTCACATTAAACTGCTGCAAGTTTTTGTGTCAGTTGCGTATACTTCGCCGCATTCAGTTTACGTGCCGCAAATTTGGTATGCAGGACGCGTCGTCCTTGCCTTGCCTTGCCACCCGGTCGCACAGGCCGTTTGGCTTTGGTTTTCGTGCGTTAACATCGATATTTTCCTTGTGCGCTTCGATGACTCTAATTAATGTTTAAATTGTGACTTTTATTATTCAATAGCATTTGGAACATAAAAACTACAAAAGGCCACAACAGAGGCAAGCCAGCTTACGAAGCAATGTTTTGAGCTTTTTCCACAATTCCCATGTTTAAAAGAAGTGAAAAGCCCTTTAATTCAAAAAAAAAAAAAAAAAAACAATTGCGAAACTGTATATGTTAGTTCAAGTAATCAAGAATTTAAATAGTTGATTAAAAATTGATTAAAAAGAACAGTTAAGTGAAATGAATAAATGGGAAACAACAACATAAAGCTGCTGTTTTCTTTGTGTTTTTGCGAAATCAATTGGCAATTACATCTTTACCAGTTTTATTTCAAGGCAGCATCTTGGATCATAAATTATTCACAAAAAATTTGATCTGATAAGATGGGGAAAACAATCCGATGATCTCGCATTTTATATAAAAAGTCTGAACCCATTGAGGCTTTACTGATTCAGTAAACATTTTCGTAATTTTTCAAAATATCTAAATTTAGAGTCCAATTATCACAATTCTAAAGTTAACAGGCAATGCAAATAATTGTTTTCAGTATATTCACATTGAAATAAATGAATAAATGCTTTACGAAATTCCTCAAATACATACCAACACCAATCTAATTAGTTGACTTTGAACATACACCTTAATAGAACTCTAAATAATAATGCATTGCCATTTCTGCAGGAGCTTGTTAGTTGAGCTACATGTGGTCTTGTTCTCCTTTTTTCGGTTGAGAGTGGCACTGTCGAAAGGAAACGGTATCAAGTGCCTCAATCAAGCGCCAAACTTGCAATATAAAATCCAAACATTTTCAATTCAATGCATTTGTGTGGTTGTTGGCAGTCAAGCGAAATGTTGGCAATGCCATGAATATTCCTGAAATTCCTGTCCATACCTACTTTTGCATATGTACGAGTACACACATAGGTAAATGGATAGGTGAATAGTTGTGTAGGTGGGTAGGTTTTCCAGACATCCAGACATCCAGCTTACGCCAGTGCCTGGGCTGTGAAGTATCCCTTTAGAAACTGTTACAACAACAATATCCAGAAGAACACTGCTCTGGCAAATTGTAGCGTTTCAATCAAATGTTCCTTGGCTTAGCGTTGCCATTATTAGTGAATGTAGTTGTTGTTATTAGTGTTATTGTTGCATCTCGCTAGCACGTAAATTGCAATTTTTGTGCTAGACGAAGTCATCGGTCCACTCCCACTCCCACTTCCACCTCCACCCCTCGCAGCAGCTTCAACTTCAGATCAAAGCCGTCTTTGGCATCGCGGTCATTGCAATAAATTGGATTGCGTTTGCGTTTTGCTGGCTGCGGACTTCGTCTGGCAAATCATTTCACTATTATTCCATTTTACTATTGAAATCACAACGTATTTAATTTAATTGTGTTTGTGCACTTGGCTGGCAAGTCAATAAGCCCAATGTTATTGACATGAAAGTTGTTATCGTCCAGCTTCCCCGTCATTTATATAGCTCAAGAATGCACGATAATTGGTAAGTAAATACAAATACATTGTAAATTCAAAAGGAAAGTAACATAATGTTCTTAAAAAGTAAATAGAATTAATAATATCCTTTGATTACTTATTAATGTTGAAAGAATCGAAACAGTTCCTTAATGAGCACCATATTGAAATAAATGGTATGGCACTGACTGCTTTTTCTTTTAGTAAAGGAATATTCCTGCTTCTGGGAAACTACAGAAAGAAAATATTAAATAAAACAAAGCCAATAATAATTTCAATTTTAAATTAACAATTTTAAATCACAATTATATGTGCGTTCGCTTAATTAACTTAACTTATCTATTATTCAATTTCCTTACATAATACAGACAAGCCTTTAAGGAAAGGACATTTTAAATACATTTTAATATTTTCATATTGTACTCACAACATTAGGAATGAAACCTTATATACATTACTACATACTTGAAAGTTCCCCTCAAGCTAATAGCACTTGGTTGAACCCATGTGAACACTACAGCAAAGAAAGGAAGCATTAATATTAACCTCATTACCAGAAACACAAAAACAAAAGCAACTGCCTAACATGGGTGGCAACAAT